GTCCCAGACTCCTGCCCTGACCTGCTTCCTGCCCAGCAGAGCACAGCAGCGGCACCTGCCCCATCCCTCCCACCCAACCCTGTTGGCAGCTCCACAGACTTCAAGGCTCCTCCTTCCAGCAGACTTTCTCCATTACCCCCACCTTGGGAAGCCCTCATGGCAGGGAGCTGAGGATGGCCTCCGGGGACAGCTCCCGAGCACCCAGGTCCTCCCTCTGACAGGGCACGGTGCCTGGAAGCAGAACCTGCCCCAGGCGAGCCTCAGATGAGACCCTGGCTCTGGCTGACACCACATCCTCAAGAGACCCCGGGTCTGAGGCCCCAGTCACCTGCAATGGGTGCTGATAAGCCTGTGTAGATGAAAACCCATGCACGTGCACTCACCTGTGACCCAGCCCTGGACAGATCCAGGGCGCCTGTGAGAGCCACTGCTCCCTTCCACAGCTTAGGACTTGCTGCAGAAGGCAGGGAGGACTGGCTGCAGAGCTAAGGCCACCCCTGGAGGCCCGGCCTGGGACACGCCCCACCCCAGCCGCTTCCCGTCTCTTCCCTCCTCTCCCTCTTCCTCTTTTAACTCCCCTCCTCCATCCTCTCCTCTCTCTCCTCTCCCCTCCTCCTTTCCCCTCCCTCCCTGCTGGGGAGGCCTCAGCCTCTGGCTGGTAAGCACAGCAGGAGCCCCCAGCCGTTGCCATGGACGTGGGCCCAACACAAACACAGGATGCTAGGCTCCCTTGCCAGCCCTGGACCCCCCACCTCCAGTCTGGCCCTGTGCAGGGTTGGGTGGGCAGATGAGGTCATTGCCATGGGAGCCCCCTCTGCAGGGCTGCAGGGGGAGTGTTTATTTGGTCTTGTTTCCCTGGCAATCTCCTGGACCCCTGCTCTACTCCGTCCACCATCCACAGGGGCATTCCAGCAAAGCCGCACAGCCAGGCCCCGCTGACCCTGGTGCCTACACCAGCCCCTCCACCTGGCCTGGCCAGCCCCACAGCAGACCCCTGCCCAGAATCCCAGGCTATCAGACAGGGGCTGCCTCCTAAGGGGTGGATGGGGAAACTAAGGCCCTGGAGCCCGGTAGAGGCAGGACCAGGCAAGGCCAGGACTCTGGTCCCCAGCCTAGGCCCTCTGCAGCCCCCAGAAGTGTCCTGTTCTTTCCCGATCAGCCCCCTGGGCCTGGCTGACCCAAGGCCACCTCCAGGGAGGTGACAGCTCTGCCCAGCATCTGCTCCTCCTGGGCCAGCCAGCTGCTGTATGCATTGGGCAGTGGGCGGGGAGGGGCTTCCGAGGAGCACAGAGGCTGCAGAGAGAGCGAGCCCAGTGGGACTTAGAGGAGCAGGGGCTCTAGTGCATGTCAGGGGCACTAAGAAGATAGGCAGCATGGTCGGGGGATGAGATGCAGGACAGCTCGAGGCCACCCCCTTGTGAACAGCCACCCCTGGCCCCAGGATGAGGCCCACCCACGTGAACAGGCCCCGGGAACAGAGTGTGCATGCAGAGAAGGTGAACCCCTGCGACCCCAGGCCCCAATGCAGGGGCTGTGGCCTGTGTAGCCAGATGGGGCAGGGAGTGAGTTTGAGCCTCCCACACCTCCAGACTCCTGCATCCCGGGGCCTCCTGGGCCACCTCCTTCTACCCTGACGGCAGCTGCCTCATGAGCTGGCCCCAGAGCACCTGCATGTGCAGCCAGACCCCATGGAGGCAGTGAGGACGTCATCCTGGGGTCCCTAACAGTTCCCAAGGTCCACGACACAGGAAGGGCAACACAGGACCCCACCACGGCCTGTCTGGGCTCTGGGGCACCAGACTCACTCTTTGCACCCTCCCCTCCTCCTCCTTGTCCCTCCTCTTCCCTCCTCTCCTTCGCCTCCTCCCCTACTCCTTCTCCCATCCTTCCCCCTCCTCCTCTCCACCTTCTCCCTCTGTCTCTGAAGTCAGTCTGGAAGGCCAGGCAGGATCCCACCCAAAGCTTCCTGCTGTACACCCCAGGTCCTTCTAAGACATTACCTAACCGCGCCTTCTTACCTAATCCCCTAGCCATCCCCTGCCGTGCTTGGAGGGGAGCCAGATGCCTGCCACCGCCCCAGCCGCCTGGGCCCAGCCAGCCTGGGCTCAAGCCTGGGTTTGCCTCTGGCCACCTGTGTGTCCTGGACTTGTCTCCCACCTGCGAATGGCACCTGAGACCGCTCAGCTAAAGTAGCTCCATGCCCTGTGGGCCCTGCTTTCCTCCCCACCGCAAGCCAAGATGGGGATGCCCTGTCATCCAGAAACTGCCCAGGAGCATCTGACCTGTGCTCGAGCAGGTGAGGAAGCACCTTGCGGATTCCAAGGTGTCTCCACTCACCTGGTGGATGTCGTTGGATAGGATGGGCCCAGGGCCAGTGGGAGCTTGTCAGCTGGAGGAGACCAGAGTGGGGATAGGAGCCAGGCCTCAATCACCCAGGAAAGGCGAGGTAGGAGACTAGAAAGGAGATGAGCTATGGCTCAGCACACACCTACAGCACTCAAGCACATGTGTGCATGCAGAGACACGCATGACACAGACACATGGACACGTGCACGCATGTGCACCTACCCACATGGACACAAACACACATGTGCACATGCATGCACATGCACCTGTGTGCAGAGACACACATGACAGACTCATGGACACATGTATGCACACATATGAATGTAGCTGCATGAATCCAGCCACCTATATGCACATATACATGCACTCACCCATGTAGACAGATACACAGACCCAGCCATACATACATACATGAAGAGACACACACAGACACAGATGCATAGGCCTAGCCATATGCATGGATGCATGCAGACACACAAAAGATACACATATATGTATGCACATGCATGCACAGACACCAGACATGCATGCACAGCCACACACATACATGCAGACACACTCGAGACACACATGCACACCCGGACACAAATGCATGGACTTAGCCACATATATGCATGTACACATGTGGACACATGCACAGACCCAGCCACATGTATGCATGGAGACACATGCACAACACACACACACACATGCTCACATGTAGACAACACAAACCCAGCCACACAAACATGCATGCTTGCATATAAATGCACACAGACATGTGGACACATACAACACACATGCACACACACACAATACCTACAGACACAGATGCACTGACATGCAGACCCACACGAATCCAACCTCACACACACACATGTGCAGATGCAGACCAGACACACAGAGCATCCACCATACACAGGGGACCCCAGCCCAAACAACTGGACCCAGGACAAAGGGGGAGGGTTGGCTGTGCACAGTGGCCTGTCCAGCCAGTCCACCCACCAACGACTTCTCTCCTCAGCAGCCTGGCCCCCGCCTGCCCGCCGCCTGCACCCGGATTGAATTCAGCTATGGTTTCACTGCTGTCACTCAGAAGAATGGTCTCATTCAGGCCACCTGCTCCCTGGCTGGACAGCTCACATCCCTCTCCTGCCTGGGCTCAGAGGCCCAATCCCCCGACCACCCTGCCTTCCAGAGGCCTGTCCCTCCAGGCAGAGCAATCCAGTGTGGCTTCACCCGGCAGTGGCCAGAGGCTGAGGGCCAGGGACCGGCACCAGGAAGTCCCCACTGGCCTCTTAGTAAGAGCTGTGGCCATGGGTCTGGAAAGGAAGCCTGGACTATTCCCATCAGGGAGATAATCCCACATTCCTCAGTGGGCAGCCCCTCCCTCCCCGGTGCTGTGGTGGGCATGGACCTGGATGTCTGGGAGGGCACAGACCAGACACAAGGTGGCAGGAGAGGGACAGGCAGGGTCTGGAGGGGCCAGTGAGGGGTTGCCAGCAGGGCATGTTGCAGCGGTGGGGGACCCACGATGTGGGCTCAGAAGGGTGATGGAGATGAGGGGAAAGTGAGGACTCTGGGCTGGGAACTGGCTCTGAGTCAGGGAGATGAGGGGCTGTGCCCAGAAGACCCCCAGATGCAGGGCTAGGGGATGATGAGGCTCTGCTGGGGACCCAGCACTACGAGAGTGAGAGGCCTCCTTCAGCTAGAGGCTGTGGGCAGGAGTGGGATGGAGCTAGGCGTCTGAGAAGACAGGGCTGGACAGGGCTTCCTACGGCACCCCACGCTCTCCAGCCTGGACACGGGAAGCACAGAGACCAGAGACAGCTGGGGCCATACACGCAGCCTGGAGATGCCTGCCCAACAAAGGTGCCCAGTGTGACTGGGAGACAGGGCTTCTCCCCCGGAGTTCCTTCTTAGGTCCTCTTCCTCCCAACAGTCCTCCTCTTCCCCAGATCCTCCTCCCCAGGGCCCTCCTTCTCCCCAGGGTCCTCCTCCTCCTTCCCAGGGCCTTCCTCCTCCCCAGGTCCTCCACTTCCTCAGCGCGTCCTTCTCAGGTCCTCCTTCTTCCCAGAGTTCTCCTCCTCCCCAAGGCCCTTCTCTTCCCCAGGGTTTCCCTCCCCAGGGCCCTCATCTTTCCCAGGGTCCTCTTCCTCCCCAAGTCCTCTTCCGCAGGGCCCTCGTCTTCCTCAGGGTCCTCTTCCTCCCCAGGGCCCTCCTCTTCCACAGGGTCCTCCTCCTCCCCAAGTCCTCTTCCCCAGGGCCCTTCTTCTCCCCAGGTCCTCCTCTTCTCCAGGCCATCCTCCCCAGGGTCCTCCTCCTTCTCAGGGTGCTCCTTCTTCCAAGGGCCCTCCTCCCCAGAGTCCTCCTCCTCCCCAGGGTCCTCCTCCTCCCCAGGTCTTCCTCCTCCCCAGGGTCCTCCTCTGTGCATACCCCTTCTCCCCAAAACCTCCCCCTTCCTCCTCCTCCCTGGTCCTTCCTCCTCCTCCCTGGTCCCGCCTCCCAATTTCTCCTCCTTCCCAGGCACACCTCCCCGAGTCCACCTCCTCTCCAACCCTCCTTTCTTGTCCTCCTCCTCCCAGAGGCCGACTCCTAGGCCTCCTCCTAAGGCCCTCCTCCTCGTCCCAGGCCTACAGAAGCCCCTGTGAAGGCAGCAGACTGAGATGAGGCTATAATTTAAAATACATTTATTTAGTGTTTCCATTTGTTTCTGGTTCTGTGACACAAAGCTGTTAAATAAATACATTCTCCACAGTCCCTCTGGGACAGGCCACACAGATGAGGTAGAGAAATCATTGCACGCACGGAGACTCAGAGCACAGACAGGGCCCCTCCCACCCACCCACGCCTGGCCAGAAGCCACCTGGGGGTCCAGGTCCCTTGTGGTGGGGCCCGGTGCGGAGAAGGTGGCTGGGATCCCTTGGCCAAGGAGCGGGCTGAACCCCTCCCAACAGCCCTTTCTCCTCTACTGCCCCTCGGAAGAGAAGCGCATGAAACAGGAGGCTCCGGCTGAGCGGCCTCTTCATCCAGCAAGACATTCGAATATATATTTGTATAGAAATCAACCAGCTAGCAGACATTTTTGGTCTGCCTTGTTTAAAAAAATACTTTTCTGAATATTTATGACATAGAGCTAAATGTGTTATTTGATTAAACATAAAAACCTTCCTCTGACTTGATGCCCTTTGTAGACTCAATAGTGACTGAGTGACAGTCTTGTCATGTCATGAGGGTGTGGCCAGCTATGCTGCTCAGGGTCCGGTGGATGCGGACACTGCAGAGGGCAGGGGCTACCACCCCTATCCCTTCTAGCCAGGCCTCCACGAGACCAAGGACAAACCCAGCGTCTTGTACCCACACTGTGGTCTGGGGATGCAGCTGCAGGCACATGTTGGGGTGCTCTCTGAACCACAGGAGAATAAACGTTCTTATGTACTATAACACAGGGATGGCAGAGACCCACAGCAACATAAATAGGTTTTCTTTTAAAAACACAGACCCCCCAGCTTTCTGGAGATCCATGGGACTCTGAGATACCCATTCACTCAGTAGTTCCTGTGTCCATACCAGCCACCCACCCAGAACCCAGCCACAACCATCAGGACACCCACAAGATGGAGCCCAAGGCGAGAGGCTCTGGGAACCTAAGGCACCACCATGCCACTGACAGCACAGCACGGCCAAGGTGACCACACCAGTGCGCGCGCACACACACACACACACACACACTGACCACACCAGCATGCATTTACACAACACACGCTTACACACATTGACCACGCCAGCACACACGCACTCACGACACACACACACGGATGCACACTGACCATGCCAGCACACACACTCTCAGAACACACACTATACCCTCAAACCAAGCCAGGTCAGTGCAGGTCACCCTGTCCCCAGCACACACAACAGCAGGGCCATAACGCATGACATTCCATGGCCAGATGCGAGCCCAAGACTGCCTCTACCGGCATCTGTCCCAATCTGTCCCCCAGTGACACAGAGCAAGCAGCTTCCTCATGACATGACATGAACCAATCAAAGGGCTGCCCTGCCCCCTCACCATACCCACCCCTCCCTACCACCCCCAGCATGAGAATCTGCACCGAGCCGCCTGGAGGCTGAGCCGTCTGCCCACAGGGTGCAGGGCAGGGGCCGCCGGCTGGCCCACCATGTGGCAGTGGCTGGCTGGCATGGAGCAGGGGGAGCTGGCTTCCAGAAGCCCCAAGGGCTGTGGCCAGACGCAGGTCACTGTATTTCCTTAACTACACACATCTATCTCCATTTAGTGGTTTCAAACAACTAAGCAGATCAGAGGCAGGGTTAGGAGGGAACATGTCAGAGATGGAAGGCGGGGCCCTCCCAGATTGGGGCTTGGTCGAGAGCGGGGAGCTGCAGCTGGGGAGGTGGCAGGGATGGAGAAAATAATAATTATTATATTAGTTAAATAATCATAATAATTTAAAAGTCACTGATATTTACTCCAAAGAGAAGTGCTCAACGTCAGAGGTCGGCAGTGTCCTCCGAGCCTGGGCACCTGCACGGCCAGGCCCTGGGAGTGCAGAACAGGCTGCGTCCTCTTCTAGTGGTTTGAGTCTCTGAAGACAGTGCTGGTGTTGGGGCAGCCTGGGCCAGGCCAGTCCCCAACGGGTGGCCCACATGGAGGCCACACGGTCACCAAGGTGCATCTGCTACCCATGCCTCAGAGGAGGTGGGGAGGGAAAGCCAATGGACTGGCATGGGGAGCCACTTCCCAGGGACTGGCGTGTTAGGGATGGGAGAAAGCTCAGAAAGCATTGGTGCAATGCTCTCGGGTCAGAGGGAGGAAGCTGAGGCCCAGGGCACAAGCAAAGAGGTTGCACACGCCAGACCAGAACCAACTCCCGCCTCTGGGTCCTGGAGAGGGGGAGACACAGGGCTTGGACAGTCAACCCAGAAGACCCCTGGCACCCTGCTCCAGCTGTACACCCCAATGTGCTAGAAAAGCCCCTCAGTGCTTGCAGGTGTAGACTCCTCACACTGCGTGCATGGCCCTCACCCTGCACAGCAGGGTTGGCCAGGCCCGGGGACTCATCCCTTGCAGGTGTAGACCTTCTCACACTGTGTGCAATGCCTGCACTCTGAGCAGCGGGGCTGACTGGGCCCAGAGTCTCAGCCCTTGCAGGTGTATACTCCTCACACCATGTGAAATGCCTGTGCCATGTGCAGCAGGCCTGGCTGGGCCCAGGGATTCAGCCTTTGCAGGTGTAGGCCCATTCATGCTCTGTGCAATGCCTGCACCCCATGCAGCTGGGGCTGAGCCCAGGGACTCAGCCTATGCAGGTGTAGACCCATTCACACTGTGTGCAATGCCTGTACCCCACGCAGCTGGGCTGCTCAAGCCCAGGGACTCAGCCTGTGCAGGTGTAGACCCTTCACACCGTGTGCAATGCCTGCACCCTGTGCAGCAGGGCTGGCAGGGCCTGGGAACTCAGCCCTTGCAGGTGTAGACCTCCTCACGCTGTGTGCACTGCCTGCACTCCACATAGCAGCACCAACGCACCTGGCACTGGCAGGGCCTCGTCACCACCCGGCTCTGTGTGTTATGGCCGCGGCCGCAGCAGATGCTCTCACAGTTCTTCTCACGGTGGCATCTACGGCCAGCGGTGCCCGGGGAGAAGCGGCCGGCCAGGCAGAAGCTAGGCGAGTCGTCCAGGTGCACCAGCTCTGGAGTGCGGGGTAGCGGGTCACTGCCGCCCACCCCCGAGGCACGGCCCCGTGGTGGGGAAATGGCACCTGCCTCACCTGCCGCTTCATTGGTGGTGCTGCCCACCTTGAGTGCTGTCTCGTACTTGTGCTTCAGGTGCTTGCCCACCTCATGGAAGGGCGCCAGCTGCCGCCAGCAGGTCCGCACCGTGCATGAGCCTGATACGCCGTGGCACTTGCAGGTGGTCTCCACCCCAGCCTTGATCACCTGGCAGGAGGGCATGGGAGGGAGGGCAGTGTGAGGGCTGTGCAGGTGGGCCCAGTGAGCAGACCCTGCCCTTGATCCCCAGAGGGACCCCGCACCCCCACCCCACCTGGGCCTAGGCTCAGGCCCAGGCCCAGCCGGCAGGCATTGCCACTGCACATCTCACATCCAGCTCACTCTCCTGGCTCATGGGGCTGTCCTACCTCCTCCGGGCTGCTGACTGCCCAGGACAGAGACTCCAGGGCTGGCACCTCAGCCCCCAGGGTGGCCACCCTTGCACCTCCACAAGGGGAGGCTCCTGCCTGATGTCCACCCTGCATCGGGGGCTGCCCTTAGCAGGGGCTGGACTTTCTGCCCCCATGCCCATAATCCCAGTCCTGCCAGGACTTCATATCTGCTCTCAGCACATAGCTCGCTGGACAGGTGAGGACAAGCGTGACCTCATCTAGTGGTGTATGTGTGAGCTGACCGTGACCTCCCTACCCCTAGTATCGGGAACCAGGTGCTACTGCACATGCAGATGCGACCCCCAGCCCACCGTTGCTGAGGGTCAGCATGCTGGGAGGCCAGTGAAGGCACCGCAGGAGCAGGGAGGCCCACGCTGCGGGGGAGAGGGGCTCCTGGGGAAGAGAGAGCTCCTTATACCGTGAGAGAGAGTCCAGGCTGGCCCCAGAGCGGGATGCACCCCTCACCCACAGCAGGGAGGGCCAGGCACCTACAATCTATACTGGGAGCTGCCACAGAAGCCTGGCTGGGCCTGTCCCCTCCCAGGACTTAGGCCCCCACCTGCAAAGACAGGCCTGGTGGGGAGGTCCCTTCCCAGGTGGGACCTGAGCCAGGCGGCTCTGCTCCCACGCCAGCAGCCCCCAGGAGGGCCGGCTCAAGAAGGATTAAGAAATCCAGCCACCTCTGGCCCGGCAACCATAGTCACATTTAATGATGTTTTGCAGAGAAACCCGGACCAATTTAATTAAAATGTTGGTGACCCAGGCTCTGTGGAGCTAATGGAGCACCCTTCATGTTCCGACTTCTCATTAATCTCTTACAAAGCGGTGAAGAGGGAAAGGGGGGGTCATACACAAAGGAAAAGAAAGGGCCTTGCTTGGGGCTTGAATCTGCCTTCAAAGGCTCTCCCCTGCCCAAGAAGGTGGAAGGAGGCACAAGAGGCCCAAACAGGGGGGGCTGATCCTTCAGTAAGTGGGTGATTGGGTATTCTGACTTCTCAATCAAGTGGGGCTCAGAGCAGGGCTGGCTCTCATTACCTCACCCCTCCCCAGGCTGGGGCTCTATCTTCCCAGCCTGCCTGGCAAATGTGAAGATGAGGGCAGGAGGCAGAAATGTCCCTCAGTTTCCAACAGAGGTGTCAACCCTGCCCATCCCTGTTCAGGAACTGCAGAGATGCTGGGGGCTCTGTGCAGAGTGGGGTTACAGGTCCAGCCTTGACTCCCCCAGACATGTGGACCTGGGCACTGACAGGCTGCAGGTGGCATGAAGGATGACCAGAGAGCTGGGGTCACCCCGGGCCAGCTACCCCAACAGCCAGTGGCCCCTGGAAGGGCTCAGGAGACAGCCCTTTTACCTCGAAGTCTTTAGGTCGGGATTCTGTCTCTCAGAATAGAGGCCTGGCCACAGAGAGGGCTGGTGGGGCAGAATGAGACTCCCCTGACTCGGGTGAGTGGGTTCCATACCCCTAACCCTTCCCTGGGACCCCCTGCCCACCATGCGTCCCACCTTGGTCTGTGGGGGTCACGTTTTCCTCCCACCAGTTTTGCTGACAAGCCTGCCAGCTGGCTGACAGGTGGGGCCCACAGTGCCATGATCCTGGTTAGACCGCCTAACCAAGGAGACCCTCCTGGTGGCCCCACAGGGACCGTGGGTGCCCCTCTGCAGGCAAACATGGCTAGTGCCCCGTTTGGTGGGTAGAGAGCCTTATGGGCATGAGAGGTTCCAGGACCATGGCCAGCACTGCACGGCCTCCACCCTCCTGCCGGAGGCCACTCCACTGTGTGCCTGCCCGCCCTGCTGCAGCCCCGACCCCAGCCCTGCACCCCACCCCTACCCCCCTGAGGCTCTTTCTGGCCCTCCTTCCCACCCTGCCAGTCCCATGCCCCGCCCTGCCCCCCTGATGTTCTTTCTGGCCCTCCTTCCCACCCCACCAGCCCCATGCCCCGCCCCACTTACCTTCACACCCACGAGGTTGTTGTGGAAGTCCACACGGGCTCGCAGATCCTTGCTTGACCGTCTGCCCAGGAACTCCTTGACAAACTTGCTGCTGTACTTGAGGTTGTCTCCGCAGCCCCCCCACTGCCAGGCCTCACGGTTCTCCAGGTCGGGCGCCTCATCGCAGGTACAGCGCTCCATGCGGCCCGCGCTGCATGCCTTGGCCAGTGCGTGCGTCAGGCCAGCCGAGGAGATGGCATAGAGGAAGGCAGTCTCCTTGAAGCCTGGGATTGGCAAGGGCTGGTCAGTGAGCCCAGGCTGCCCAGAGTTCCCCCTTCACTGTCCTGCAGTCAAACCACCCCAAGAGTATGAATCCCATGTGGGGGCCCAGTGCATCTTTACTGGTGCTGCACTCGGGACAGGGTGTGGGTATGCCCTGGGCACCACAGGGTAGGAAGCGCCCAGGTGTCCCCCAGGCGCAGAGCTGGCTGGGAGGAGAAACCAGAGCCCGTCATGGCCATGGCTCCCACTCCGTGGTCACAGTCTCCATCAGGGTCTCAAACCTCCCAGCCTCACCATGGGGCCATTGGAAAGTCCTGCCTGCCCTAGGCCTTGGGTCCCCAATTTTTACACAAGCTAGTGCAGTACGGTGGCACACGGCTGCAGCCCCAGCTACTCCAGAAGCTGAAGTGAGAGGGTTGCTGAAATAGGCGGTGGAGAGCCCCTGGGAGGGCGCAGGAGGAGGCCGAGGTGGGAGGGTGGCTGAAATAAGGTGGTGGAGAGCCCTCATGAGGGTGGGAAGGCAGGAGGAGAGTCTGTACAGGCAGAGCCCCCTGGGCACTGGGCCATCTGGCAGGAGCCGAGGGCTGTCGGGGCAGCACCGGGCAGCCTAGGGCCCCGTCAAAGGCGGAGTCAGCACACCCTGGCCACCAGCAACGACTGTGCCTGTGCCAAAAGCAGGGCAGGGCAGGCAGCACTCAGGGAGGTCCAGGGGCTGCCCTTTCCAGGGCCTAGGCCCAGGAGCTCTGGGCAGGCTGGGCCCAGTGTCCCCAGGAGTGCAGCCTGAGAGGGGCCTCTTGGGACATGGACCAGGCCTGGGCTGCTGCCTCTGCCTGGGGCCTTCCTGAGGGCCAGGCCGGCCACACTCACCTCGCTTGAGCAGGCTGGCCCGGTAGCGGCCCTCCAGCGTGCAGTTCCAGCGCTCAAAGCGGAATTGGAACTGGCACTCAAGCGCACTCATGCTCACGGCCTCCACCAGCGTCTCTGCCACACCCGGGTCCCGGCGGCACATGCGCCGCTGCTTCCGCTCCAGCTTCAGCCGGTCGCAGGCCTTGTAGTGTGCCTGGGCGGCCGCCTCGGGCTCCAGGGTCAGCGGGAGGACGGTCAGGGGCTCGCTGCCCGTCAGCCTGGGCACAGAGAGGCCAGTGTGAGCCCAGCGCCAGGAAGCCCTGCTGGAGCCTGGCCAGGTGTCTCGGTGGCCAGGGGACAGGGGACAGGCATGTCCATCCGGGGGTGAGAGGGGCAGAAAGAATCCAGGATGAGCAGGCAGGGGAGGGGGAGGTGAGAAGGGCCTTGGCCCCCTGCACATCCATGGCCCCCACTCCAGTGAGCATGGTCGCAGCAACCTCAGGGCTGTCTCTGCTGCCAACTCAACCCCCACAGTTTCAGGGAGTCTAGCTGACTCTAGCTATGCTGGACAGACAAGACCTTCACAACACACACAACATACGAAAGAGGACAGCCCCTCCTAGTGCTGTGGGCAGGGAGGAGGCTCCGGAGCCTGAATCCCAAGCTATGCCTGATGGGCATCTGCCACACCCTCCACCCTCTTCGGCCCCAGCTGACCTGCAGGACCCCACCTGAGGTCCCCCTACCCTCTGCCATGACCTGCTGGGATGTCTACGGTCCTGTGGCCCCCTGCAGCTTCCCAGCACTCCTGCAGTCTATGCATATGTCCCAGGTTCTGGTTGGGGTCTCCCCACCTCAATGCCTGGGTGTGGCACTGGGAAGTGGCTCTTGGTTCTCTGACACTCTACCCTTCTCACCTCACCAAGCCTGGACATCCTCCTTTGCAGGACAGACCCCAGCTAACCCCTCCCCATAGGTCACCCCTGGGGGCCTCTGAGCTGACACACACCATCCTCCATCTTTACACGAGGCCTTGCACCAGCCCCCAGCACTGAGGATGCATCCCCAACCTCAACTGCTCCAGGAACCCGGCTCCACCCTATTGGATGCCCCCTCCCCGCAGCCCGCTGCTGGCTCACCTGCTGCTGCTGCTGCTGCTGCTGCTGCTGCTGCTGCTGGACTCACTTCACAGGGCTTCCCTCACACCCCGCCCTGGCCCAGCCCACATGGAGCCAAGGCCTTTTGGTCCTCAACGTCAAACCCTGACCCCGCCCCCATGTCACCTGTCTATCCTGGGACTGACCAAGCATGCTCTGCAGCTGTGTCAGACCTGCCAGCCCAGTGTCCCCACATGGGTGGACTGTCAGGGGCCCCAGGCACCGCCACCTCAAGCCAGACTCAGCCCCACAGCCCTTGGGAGGGCACCTGCCTGGACAGGGCCAGGGCTCGGAAGCCCCTCCCGAGAGCACCACTGGACACATGCTGCCCAACTCACCCCCAGCAGACCTCAGCAGAGAACAGTAGACTCAGAACGTTCTGGGAGCTACCGGGGTGCCAGCTTGGGAAGGCTCCCCCTACACCCTCGCATGGCCCTGCTAGACCCCACCACCCACCCAGAGGGAGTAGCTCCTGCCCAGGGGTGTGGAGGGGAGGGGCCCAAGAGGCTCCCTAGCACATCCCATCAAAGGCAAGGCCACACAGGTGACCCCTAGGCTACTGAAAGGCACCTGCCTCCAGGGCCACAGGCGCAGGCCACAGAGGGAGCAGGTAGAGGCCCCAGGAAGGACCCCACAGCCCCTCCACAGGAGCCACCCGCCTGGTGGGCGTGCTGAGATACCCTGCCCGGCCAAGCTGACATTCTGCTCCCTAAGCTGGGGTCTGCTCCTCCAGGATGCTCAGAGCCAGCCCGAGCCCCCGTGAGCCCTCTGAGTTGAGCCAGAGTTGCAGGCAGCAGGACCTGCAACAGCCCCCCCACCAGTCAGTGAGCTACCAAGGGGCGCCACGGGGGGGGGGTCTTCACTTGGGGAGGCCATGCCCGGGATTCAAGACACACACCCATGTGCCAGGCTGCCAGGGAGTGGGTAGAGGAGGACCCCAAGGGCCCTTCTAGCAAATCCCCAAGGTCCCCGAGGCACAGGCCCCATGCAGCACAACAGGCCCCACAGGGAGGACAGGAGGGACCAGTCAGTCCTCCAAACCTGGACACTGCTGTGGGCTGAGGCTGGGAGAGGCCTGGGTGAGGGAAGGAAGTGCAGTGTACACAGGTCCCCTCAGACACCCTAGGGGTCAGGACAGGAGCACGGGGTGGCACTGTGGGCATCCATGCACAGACACCTCCAAGCCCCAGGGCCAGATATGGGATATCCCAGGACAGCTGGGCACATAGAGCAGGACTAGGGCGGGGGGCAGGCTGGGGAGCAGGGCCAGGAAAGCCACACCTCACACACAAGGGCAGCTCGCAGGTGGAGACCTCCATCCCTAGATGGAACGACACAGCTGTGACCAGAACAGCCCTCAGGAGGACAACAGCCTTCCACCTGTGCCTCCCCCCAGGCCTGGACCCGTCAGGACCCAAGAGCCCCAAGCCACTGTCCCAGAAAACCCCTATAGCCAGGTCAGCATGGGCCCTCCACAAGCTGCAAAACCCAACTGTGGGTGTGGACAGGGGACAGGGAAAGGGGAGAGGGAAGGCACTAAGAAGAGGTGGGGGAGGGGAAAAGCAGAGGGGAGGAGAAGGAGGGGAGGAGGGTAGTGGATGAAGACAGGAGGGTGAAGGGAAGAGGGCAGGGGAGGAGGGGGAGGGGGCCCCATCTACCAGAGCCACCCCTCCCTCCCTGTCAATGGTGACTGAGGATATCAGTCTGCCCTGCCCCCTCCCTGTGGCCCACCACCTGGCCCACACTGGTCATGCTGGGGCACTGACAGCTGGTTTGACAGTGACAAGCTGAGTCCTCCAGCCTTCCCTAGGGCACTCCTGGAGCAGGCAGACAGCAGGGCAGCAAGTGTGGCTGCACCTGGAGACTCGCTGGGCAGCCCCAGGACACCCCTCTATCAGAGGCAACTCCCTAAACGCAGCTGCAGGTAACTGCCCCTGATCCAAGGACAGGCAGGGTGGGCAGGGTGGGCCATCAGCACCGGCAGAAGGGTGTGGAGGGAGGGTGGCCCCAGCCCAGGAGTGGCAAGGGATGGCCTGAGGCCCAAGGGCTACGCCCTTCCCTGTAGTAGTCACTGAATTCTGTGCTGCTCTGGCCATGGCCTTCTTAAGCTCCTGCCCCCTCATCCTTCTCCCACCCTTGGTGACCCCTGCCCCATGCCTCCTTCATTGTCAGGGTGGGCTCCACATGCAGCCAACTGAAGGGATTCACAGCGCCAGGGGATAAAGATCTGAGGATAAACAGGCAGACCACAGGCACCACAGGGCATGCTGGGGAATGGGGCAGGCGATCTCAGGGCCTGGGCCCAGCACAGGAGGCCCAGACCCTCCTGACAGGCAGGGCTCTCTGTCTGCCACACGACAGAGCCACAGAAGGGCTGAAGAAGGGAGGAGTGGTTCCCAACACAACCTCAGAACAGAGAAGCTTTCTTCCGTGAGACTCAGAACCCAGAAGTCACCGAAAAGTGAATATATTTGACTACTTAAAAGTATAAAAATCTCTGCATAGCAAAAAACAAAACAGAGGCAGCGCAGAGTCCAGAGACCAAGAGACAAATTACATCTGGGGCAAATGCCTGCAACTCACACCCCAGACCAGGGGCCAGCGCTGTACACGTATGTGTGTCTGGATGCATATCTCTTCCTATAAACCAATAACAAAGGAACCGACTGAAGACAGACAAAGGGTATAAACCCACAGGCCAAGGGAAGGAAACCAACTGGCTCTTCAAACCCACGAGCCAACACTCAGCCCCACTCCAAGACATTCTCTGCCTGCTGTCCCAGCTGCTCCAGAGACCATGACGGGAGAGTTGTTTGAGCCCAAGAACTGGAGACCAGCCCAGGCAATATAGCAAGACCCCATCTCAAGAAATAAAACTATATTGATACATTATGCTTTGTTAATGAATAAGCACAAATCAAATGTCCGATGAGAATATTGTCAAGGACACGGGGAGACACTCTTCCATGGCTGGAATTCCAGACTGACATATCTAGGAATCTTTAAAAATAAACCACTGCAGTGGTCTGAATATTTGTGTCTTCTCCAAATTCGGTGTCAAACCTAACACCATCAAAGTGGTAGCATTAGGAGCTGGGACCTCTGGAAAGTGATTAGGTGATGAACAGGATTAGTGTCCTCATGGACCCCAGGCTGGGTGCAGTGGTTCATGCATGTAAACCCAGTACTTTGGGAGGCCAAGACGGGAGGATCATTTGAGGTCAGGAGCTCAAGAGCAGCCTGGGCAACATAGTGAGACCTGGTCTCTATAAAATATTTAAAAATTAGCCAGGTGCAGTGGTGCATGCCTGTGGTTCCAACTACTCAGGAGGCTGTGGCGGGGGGAACACTTGAGCCTGGGAGGTCAAGGTTTCAGTGAGCTGTGGTTAAAATAATAATAAAATAAAATATAAATAAATAAAAGGGACCCTGGAGAGACCCTTGCCTCTTCTGCCATGTGAGGACATGGTGAGAAGGCACTGTCTATGAAACAGGAAGTGCCCTCACCAGACACAGAATCTGCCACACCTTGACCTTGGCCTTCCAGCCTCCAGAGCTGTGAGCAGCATACTTCTGTGTTTTACAAGCTCCCAGGCTGTGGTGTTTTGCCGTAGCAGCCTGCGTAAACTAAGATGCCCTACAATTACAGACATAATCACATCTTTCTGGAAGCACAGACTGCACATGCATTGTACCTTCCCGGCATGCCATTCAACATAGCCTTGTTATAGGAATGTGCTGGAGACAGCAGGAGAGCAGCTGGGAACGTCAGATCCACACGCTCCGTGGCGTGTCACATGGTCCGTGAGCAGCCAGCCGTCCCATGTGAATCCATGCCAAGTCACGCCCCAGGTGTGCTCAGTGGACAAGCAGAGCCCAGCAGTGGGTGGATAAGCTCAGCAAGGGCTGCATGTGTGGGCGCGTGTTTGTGGCTGCACCGGACCAAGCAAAGACCCAAAGATGGAGGAAGCGTGTTCTTCCCCACAGAGCTGTGAGTTGTGCCGGCACACAGATGGCCTTTCCAGAATCCATAGAACTCGCTCCACACTCAGCAAATGGCACAGGCCCGGGAGGTGGGGGCTGCAGTGAGCCACAGACACACCACCACACACCAGCCTGGGTGACAGAGTGAGACCATCTAAAAACAAACTAACAAAAAAACCAGCCTGCATCACCCTGGTTTATATAAAGGTGGCAGCAGCTATCCTGGTCTTGTTCTTCATCTTCAGAGGAATGCCTTTAACATTTCAGCATGAAGCCTGACGCCCAAACACCGTTTCAGGCCACAGGGGCACCCTTTGGTTCTCAGTTGGCTAAGAACCTCTAAAAATCATAAATGGGGCCAGGCGCAGTGGCTCACGCCTGTAATCCCAGCGTTTTGGGAGGCTAAGGTAGGAGGATCACTTGAGGTCAGTAGTTTGAGACCAGCCTGGCCAACATGGTGAAACCCCACCTCTACTAAAAATACAAAAATTAGCTGGGCATGGAGGTGCATGCCTGTAATCCCAGCTACTCAGGAGGCTGAGACAGAAGAATTGCTTGAACCTGGGAGGCAAAGGTTGCGGTGAGCCGAGATCACGCCACTGCACTCTAGCCTGGGCGACAAGAGTGAGACTTCGTCTCAAAAAAAAATAATAATAATAATAAATAAATATCGAATGTTATCAAATGTCATCCTTACATCTTTTGAGGTATGACTTTTCTCTCTCCTTCCTTCCTTCCATCCTTCCTTCCTTCTTTCGTTTTTTTAGAGGAAAAGTGTCACACTGCCACCGAGGCTGGAGTGGGGTGGCACAATGACAGCTCATTGCAGCCTCACTGTTGCAGTGAGCTACAGAAACTGACCAATGTTCTGTGGAAGTTTGTCTTCCTGGACTCAACCTGGCCAGGATGGGCTCCATTCTTTTCTATGGGGCTGGATGTCTTCTGATAGTGTCTTCCCAGGATTTTCACATCTGCATTTGTGATTTTCTTCTCTCTAGCTCTTCCCCTGCCTATGTGAGAGGTCTTCTGTTCAACTTTCCTAGAAGAGTTTGTATCAGATTAGAATTGTGTCTTCTTAACTGTTTGTTCTGAAGAACTGGCCATGAAGCCATCTAAGGACTGAGCTGTTCTTGGCAAAAAGATTTCCTTTCTGATCCAGTTTCTTTTTTCCTTTCTTTCTGAACAGCTTTACTGAGACATACAGGCACACCTTGGAGATGTTGTAGCTTTGGTTCCAGACCATTGCAATAAAGAGAAGGTCAGAATAAAGCAAATCATGAGTTTTTTGGTTTCCTAGTGCTTCTACAAGGTATGCTTACACTATAGTCTATTAAGTGAGCAACAGCATTATGTCTTAAAAATAATACATATGCTTTAGTTAAAAACACTGGACTGCTGAAAAAGGCTAACAATCATCTAAGCTTCATTGAGTTGTCATTTTTTCACTGGGGGAGGGTCTTGCCTCCATGCTGGTAGCTGCTGACTGATTAGCATGGTGGCTGCTGAAGTTTGGGGTGGCTGTGGAAATCTTTTTTTTTTTTTTATCTTTAGTAGAGATGGGGTTTCACCATGTTGGCCAGGCTGGTCTGGAACTCCTGACCTCTTGACCCACCTGCCTTGGCCTCCCGAAGTGCTGGGATTACAGGCGTGAGCCATCGCGCCCAGTCAGAAATTTCTTAAAGCAAGACAACTATGAAGTTTGCCACATCAATGGACTCTCCCTTTCATGAAAGACTTCTCTGTAGCAGGTGATGCTGCTTGATAGCGTTTTACCCACAGTGGAACTGCTTTCACAATTAGAGTCACTCTTGTCAAACCCTGCCACTGCTTTATCAACTAAATTGATGTCAATTCTAAATCCTTTGTTGTCATTTCAACAATGTACACAGCATCTTCACCAGGAGTAGATTCCATCTCAAGAAACCACTGTTTGTTCATCCATAAGAAGCAACTCGTCATCCATTCACATTTTCTCATGAGACTGCAGCAATTCAGTCCCATCTCCAGGCTCCACTGCCAATTCTCGTTCTCTTGCTGTTTCTACCACATCCGCAGTGACTTCCTCCCCTGAAGTATGGGATCCCTCAGAGTCATCCATGAGGGCTGGAATCAACATCTTCCAAACTCCTGTTCGTATTGCTGTTTTGACCTCCCATGAATCATGAATGTTCTTAAGGCATCTAGAATGGTGAATCCTTTCCAGCAGGTTTTCAATAGACTTTTCCCAGATCCATCAGAGGAATCACTGTCTGTGGCAGCTGTAGCCTTATGAAATGTCTTGAATAATAAGATTTGAAAGTTGAAATGACTCCTTCATCTGTGAGCTGGAGAATTAATGCACGTTGTGTTAGCAGGCATGGAAACAACATATATCTCCTGGCACATCTCCACCAGAGCTCTTGGGTGAACAGGACACTGCCAATGAGCAATAATACTTCCCAGGAATCTTTTTATCTGAGCAGTGGATCTCCACAGTGAGCCTAAAATATTTAGTAAACCAGGCTGGGAACAAATGTGCTGTCATCGAGGCTTTGTTATTCCATTTCTACAGCACAAGCAGAGTAGATTTGGCATAATTCTTAACAGTCGTAGAATTGTTGCAATGGTGAATGGGCACTGGCTTTAACTTAAAAGTTACCAGCTGCATTAGCCCCTATCAAGAGAGTCACCCTGTCCTTTGAAGCTTTGAAGCTAGGCATTGACTTCTCCTCTCTAGCTATGGAAGTCCCAAATAACATCTTCTTTCAGTAGAAGGTTGTTTCATTTCCACTGAAGATCTGTTGTTACTGTGGCCCCCTTCATCAGCGATCTTAGCTGGATCTGCTGGAGAGCTTGCTGCAGCTTCTCTAACAGCTCTTGCACTTTTATGTTACAGAGACAGCTTCTTTCCTTAAACCTCGTGAACCAACCTCTGTTCGCTTCCACCTTTTTTTCTGCAGCTTCCTGGCCTGTCTCAGCCTTCATAAAACTGAAGAGGGTTAGGGGCCTTACTCTGAATTAGGCTTTGGCTTAAGGGAATGCTGTGGCTGGTTTGGTCTTCTATCCAGACCACTCACACTTTCCCCATATCAGCAATAAGACTGTTTCACTTCATCGTTTGTGTGTTTACTGGAGTAGCACTTTCCATTTTCTTCAAGAACTTCCTTGCATTCACAGCTTGGCTAACTATAGCCCAGCTTCCAGCCTGTCTTGACTTTGGACATGCCTTCCTCACTAACCTAAATCATTCCTCACTTTAAAGTGAGGGATGTGCGACTCTCCCTTTCACTTGAACACTTAGAAGCCACCGTAGGGTTATTAATTGGTCTAATTTTAATATTCTTGTGTCTCAGGGAATAGGGAGGCCTGGGTAAAGGGAGAGAGATGGGGAATAGACTGTCGGTGGAGAAATGAGGACATAAAACGTTTATCAATTAAGTTTATTGTTTTACATGGGCATGGCTCACAGCACCCCATAATACGATAGCAACAGCAATGATCACTGACCACAGATCACCATAACAGATATAATCATAATGAGAAATTTTGAAATATTGCAAGAATTACCAAAATGTGACACACAGGCAGAAGTGAGCACACGCTGTTGGAAAAATGGCCCCAAAGGATGTGCTTGTGGCAGGGCTGCTACTAACCCTCCACATGCAATGGCACTACAGAGCCAAGCACAGTGGAGCAGGGTCAGGCTGCAGCTCACACACCACAAACTCACCCACTGCAAGATTCACTGTGTATTCACCAATACGGGCAACAATCACCACAGTCAGATGCAGGGCCTGCCACCTCCTCAGAAACTTCCCCAGCCCTGATCCGCTTTCTGTCTTGATGGATTTGCCTATCCTGGATATTTAAGTGGAATCACACAGCATTGACCTTTTGTGGCTGGCTTATTTCACCCAGCACAATGTCCTCAAGGTTCATCCCGGCTGCAGCCTGTGTCAGAATATCCCTCCTCTTAAGGGTGAATCCTATTCCATTGTGTGGACGGAACACGTTGTGCTCATCCATTCATGTGCTGAGAGGCACGTGGGTTGTTCCATTTTCCAGCTTTCATACCTGATGCCGCTATGAACATTCACACATGTGTTTGTGTGGACATATGTTTTCACTTCTCTTGGGTATACACCTGGGAGTGGAGCTGCTGGGTCACAGGGAAACTCTATGCTTAATCCCTTGGAGACTCAGATGTTTTCCAATGTGGCTGCACTTTATATTCTCAATGCCCCATTTTCTTTAAT